ATGTTTCTTAAATATCGATAATATCTTGTGAAATGCTTGTGAAAAAATAAATTAAATATTGAATTAACATTATATATATAAATATATATTTATATTATTATATAAATATTGAAGTGAGTATTTTAAAAAGTGCCATAATTTCTAAATCACAATCTGTGATCCTGGTCTCTGTGCTGTTGCAATCAGTTTATCTACCACACATGCTTAGTGCACTTTAAGTAAACAGACAATCTCGTTTCACTAACTTCTAATCACTAAGTTTAATTGATTTTAATTTCATGAATTAGCTCTAAAGCTTTCATAAGAAACAGGTGTAATAAAAGAAGGCGATGGATTCTGTGGATGTTATCATGTGGTCCTTTTTCAGAAAGGTGAAAGTATTTACAATATATGGCTATTGTCCCAAATTACCATGTAATTAATTTGAAAATACTTCCTCTCTTTAGCAGGGGTTTATAATATAAAACAAGCTCAGAGCAGAGATTTTCAGATAGTGATGCAATGGCATTCCACTTGATTTCCCAATCAAGCCTTTGCAATGCTCCACACATCTTTTAATCACAACTAGCACTTACTGAAAGATCCTGAGTTACATTAGACAATGTAAATTAAGTGGAGATTAAGGAAACCTTATATCTTTTTTTTAGATAGAACAGTACATTATTGCATTCAAAAGCACTACTTCTTCTAAACTTGAATCAAACCTAAGCCACAATATATAGGGACTATGTATGAGTGTGTGAGGTGACAGGAGCTTACTAATATTTTTTATGGGGATTTCACTGAAGTACAACAATTTTGGTGTACACGATAAAGCATAGGCCTACTTCAACCATACAGTAAAATATGCAAAATCAATCTAACATTTAGAGAAAAATCCTAAATAAATAAGTTGTCACTGATCGAACTTCATCAAAGTTCCCTCCTGACTCAAAAAAGACTAGGTGGAATGACTAAGTGCTTCATTGCAGAGGTATAAGAAAAACAGCAAAAAAAAAAAAAATAAACCTGTAAACCAATGGATGGTGTATTCCTAAAACAGTGTACAAAAGTCTTTATATTTTATGTCCTGTGCTCTATTAACATTTCAATAGAGACGAAAAAAAAAAAATAACATTAGGCTATTGTATGGCTTCTTCACCTATCTGTGACTACAAGACAACTTTTATAGAGGCTATCATGCTATCACATTGGTGTATAATGCTTGTGAGAAGTTAATCCAAATGATTTCCAGATCCCTGCTTAGTTTTAGAGTAGCCTATGACTTGTCCATGAGACAAAGCTGGCCATGGGAGGACTGGACATTGTGCAGTGTGAAGGACGTCTGAGGCCATGAACCTTTATGTAAATGACTAGCTCTGCCCTAGATCAGTTGTTTCAAACCACGTCCTGAGAGATCCCTGTTAATCAGTGGAGCATTTCAACTATCTAAGGAAGGGGAAGCTCGGAAAATCAAAAACTGGACAGTTGATACCAATTACCAATCCCATTAATCTATTCAATAGTTTAAAAAATTAAATGTGTTTCAAATAGTAAACTGAAATAAGCAACCCAATAGCAAAAAGTGGTTGCTTCAAAACCACCATCACATACACAAACCAGGCCTGAGAAAAAATGCTGGGCTACTACAGGTGTTATAGGCACTTCTGTCAGCATCTAGAAAACAGCTGATTTGTCTTCTTGTCCACGTAATTGGTTTAATAATGTCTTTAAGGTCCGAGATGGAAGAAAATCTGAAACAAACAAGGATTCAAGGTCCAGACTTGCATACCCCCTGCCATGTGCATGTGAATGTATGAACACACTTGAAATATCTAAGATGTGTTTTAATACTCCTATTGTGGTCTCTGAAACGATTTGCAACACAACATTCTATGCATAGTCATTATAGTCTGATTATCAATGTGTAGGTGACAAGGCATTTATATTTTTTCAACTTGTCATAAATACTGTGCAGATGCCACAAGAGGTTACATGCCAGACTCAAATGCCTTACTCCGTTACCAGTTTTCATTGAAATTTGACATAATGTGTCATGCACAGTCTGTTGTATAACCAAGTACCTTTCTTTAATTAAAACAGAGGTTTTTAGCCCTGGTCCTGGTGAGCTTCAGTGCACCAAGTTTTATACGTGATCTTTGAGTTATCAAATTGTAAAGGCCTGGAACAATTTAATCATCATCATCAATCAAATAAAACAGGTGGTGTATTCAATTAAGTATTTTAGAGATCATCTATCTATCCATTTTCTAACCACTTTATCCAATACAGAGTAATGGGGAAGCTGAAGCCTATTCTGGGCAGCAACAGGAGCAAGTAAAACTACACCGTGGATGGGACACCAGTCCATCGCAGAGCATACACATATACTCACACCGGGGTTAATTTTCCCAGAAACTAATTAATTTACCAGTATGTCTTTGGACAGTAGGAAGAAACTCGAGAACCTGGAGGAAACCCTTGTGAACATGTGATCAATATATAAACTCCATGCAGGTAGCAGGAATTGAACCCAGGGCACCAAGCTAAAAAGCAGCAATGCTAACCACCACACTACCATGCTGCCCATTTTAGACATAATTTGAAACATAAACCACACTATCCTACTAAAATGAAAGTGCATAGAAGGCTTATTCAAACATATTCAAATGATCACTTTAATACAGGCTCTTTATGCCACACCATGATTTTAAAAGAAACAAACTTTACCCTTTTTTACAATATGGAGATATGCATCTCTTCTAAACCAGTCTTTGTCCCCAGGCTGCATCTGACCTTTACTGTACTATTTTACAAATGTTAATAACCCAAGACAATCCAAATAAACACTGAAAAACACACTGGTCAACCTATAGTATCTAGTACGCTACAAGATGGTCTGGTTGAATCGGCAGCCACTTTAACTCCTGTGGTCATTGTGTGTTGCAAAACAAAGGGCAACTCATGTAACAACATGTCAGCGGATGATTTTTCCAATTCCACCTCCCACTTGCTGTGTTGTGAAACCATCTGCACCAAGGACAATACAGTAAACAAAAGTATGTGCTTAATGTTCTCTGGAAGCTGACTGACTGGAAGTGTGAGATTCAGTACATTTCTAGGTTTTTGCAACTGCATTGTGCCTTCCTATTTGAGAATCTCCAAAACTGATTGAATTAAACTCTCCATGACATATTTGTATGTAAACTAAACACCTAATAGATATGTAAGGAATCATATTTTTATCCTGTCAATATAATGCGTTCCTGCAACCATATCACCAGAAAAACAGAACTTTCGCAATTTAAGGACGCTATGCTCCTATGTCATGATTTATGACATAAAATACAATTTAAAATAAAATTTGCTGGATTCTGTGTTGGAATGCATTGTACAGCACATTTCCATCCTTTACAAAACACTATATGTTTAACAATTCAACCTCTTTACCATCTCAATTCACATTAGTAAAGAGATGGCCAGGTCACTGAGTGTCATGCATGACTTGCGCACAGGCTGTAGCAGTTACTGAATACCCCTGGGTTAGGAGTCTTCAGAATAATTCCCAATGCCCTAAATCTCACTAGATATTTTGTTAAGCATTGCTCCAAAAGACTGATCACATAAAAGTGATCCTGGTACTGTAGTCTAACTAAAATAAATTTATAAAGGTATCCATATACAGTATAATAACGTTTACAGTCCTACCAGATGTTTCTTAAAGAAAAATCAAGTTATCAAACTCAAAACGCTAAACTGTATGAGAGATTTGACTTTAACATGGACATTTTTTCTAGGGTTTTATCATGCTTTCAGTATGTCACATACAGTACAGTAGGCAGTTTTGTTTACTACGGTTAGTTGCAGGCTTTAGCTTTCTTGGACTGCTGTGCTTCTATCACGATTTTCAATGTTTTACAGTACGTAACATAATGTTAATGTTACCTACGGACACCACACCGATTTTTTTTTTATTGGAACTCTAATACGATTTTGAATTTGTTCTTGAATATTGAAAAAGTCCTTAATTTGGATTGGATTGGATTTCCCATAGTAGTAGATTTAACTTTTTTTATTTACGCGTAAACATTAGTTTCAGCTTGCCTTAAGAAAGTTGAGTCAGAACTTCCCTTAAGAGACAGGGTACACTTAGTTCGAATAAATTTTAAAAAATGTGGAGAAGTACAGATGTGCGTAAGGAATTTGTGACTAAGTGTCTCCCGAGACACGATGGGCCGAAACGTCATTTTAAAAAACCAAAATGGTTATACAATGTAACGCCCGACCAAAACTCTTCACACAGCGTTTATAAAGGCGATAACACTGTAGAAGATGGAATATTTTAAGCAACGTAAAAGCTGCTTACCAGCTTTTATGGTAAAATATATGTTTTTATTCAGAGGACTAGCAGAAACGCCCTATTTTATAAACGCCATATAAAGCGACTGGCGTGGTTTAACATTGTCTTTAAGTTCCTTCGGCACATTCATGTACAACATGCTTCTCCAGTTAAAGAAACTAGGCTTTTTCGGAGACTATTTCAAAACATGGTGGCGTTTATTTTTTACTTTGAATCGTCAACAGTAATTTAACATATAAGCATAACAATTATGTGGTAAGGAACAAGTAGAGATTAATGCTACAATTAAAAAATAACGTTAAAGGTAAAAAGTCTTCTTCAGGTGTGTGTGGGGGGGATTATCGACAATCAAAACATTGTTTTTTGTATTTTTCTTCTACTTTTCAGTGCAGAATTATTCGCGTTCAACTCGCACGTTAACGCAGCTACTGTACCTACTCTATAATATGGCAGTTCATTGACTAGTAAGTCTTAAAAAATTAACTGAAACTTCATTTTGTATAACCTGTAGCTGACCACTTTATCCCTTCTAATGGAACTATTTTTTGCGTTCTTGCAACCACTCCTGTTACACCCATTCTTATTTCGACAGATTGCTTCGGGGTAAGAACACAATAAACAAACCCTAAAAATCAACAAGTGGACTGACTCCAGAACTTACCCGGTTCGTCTATCATCTCAATGTTAACCTCCGGCTCTTGCTCAATCTCCGAATCCGAGTCCATCTCAAATATTTCGGTTGCATTATCCGTATTCATCTTTGTTAATCCAGTTGTAAAAGAAAATCCAAACAACGGTTAACTGAAACGAGTTCGTCAAGAAGTTTTATGATTTGGATATTTGCCTTGTCATTGATACAAATTCAGAATGTCTGTTTGCTATGTTTTCTTATTCCAAAGCTTATTTGCGAGTCACACAAATGAGCAGGAACTGTGTAAAATGATAAGTCTCCTCCCAGAATGTAAGTGTTGCCGCCCTGGAGATTTTGCTGTGCAGTTTTGTTTATAATATAGGTCTAAACAGCACGACAATCCACTTACCACTTTTATTTGCATTTTGATTTTTAACTATTTTTTTCATAACTAATTGTGAATATGTCATCTTTAATAAAACGGTTTGGAATTTTGAAAAGGGCTCCCTATCGCTTTTGAAATACAGTGTTTTGAGCTCTTTTACTGTATGAGATGCACATACAGGACAATTTGATTTTTTCCCACTCAAAAATGTGGAATTTTATTTCACATAGGAAATGCAATTGTTAATCTGCAACATGTTTAAGAACTAAGAACAATCAAAGAGTTTAAATTAATCCTATTAGTAGTTTAATTTGGGTTTCAGTTGTGTAACTGAGAGCTTGGTGTGGTGGAGGCCCAGAATAAGGACTGGAAACTGTTGTGGGAAATCCTTCATCCAAGGAGCAGGACACAGTCTTTCGTGGATTCAGTTGTTTTTTGAGCTCAATAACGACATCAACGCGCGTTGGGTCTGCCCCGCAGAACAGACAACACTGCAAGGGTTTCCCAGCTCTTATATACAGTATGATCTCAGGAAGATGTTTTGTTTCACCACTTCATGGTTATTCGTCTTGCCTTTTGATATGTAGCATGAGTTAACCAGTTGGTCCTGTCTCAAGTCCTGTCCTTTGATATGTAACATGAGTTGACCTGCTAAGTCCTGTTCCAAGTCTTGTCCTTTGATGTGTAGTTGTAATTGTTGGAGCTGCTTAAGATATGTTAAAGCAGCCGACATATTGCACAATGCGCCTGAACCAGCACTGTAGTGTTGAATAGAGATAAATTAGATATTTATTTTCCATCAATAATATATATGTGTTTTTCTACTTCAGAGACCCCTACAGACTCCACAAAAAGTCCCCAGAAGAAAATGAAAGCATTCATTGTTTTGTTGAGAACACAGCTAGAGGAGTGTTGTGAGATTAATAGTATTATAGGTCCCTTTAAAAGTTCAGAATATATGAGCTTCACCATACCGAAGGCAAAAGAATAACATTATGACAACACTGTAAAACACAGTTGCAAAATACTATAGAAATACTGTAGCTGTGCAGATTGGTAATCACAGGGAAAGCTTCAAAATGTTGGTACTACCACAATATAACATAAAAACAGTGAACAGTGATAAAAAAAGTTAGACAATTTTAAATTGTCTAACTTAATGTATACCATGTAAACCATGCATAAAACACCACCAAGCAATAATGCCTTTTAAACACCTTACATTACATTTAATTGAAAATTAATTCATATACTTAATTGAATTAAGAGTGAAATGTATACAAATGCAAGCTGCAATTGGAAAAAAAAAGAAACTGATGAATTAATGTTTTATAATTAAAGTCTGTTCAGGATAAACTAAATGTATAAGAGAACCTTCATTATGAATGTCTCTTTCAGTTTTATATAACCAGTTATTTCAGACATTGAAAGTAACATCAGGCAGGTACTAGAATTAACCATGTTTATTTCTATTGGCAGGAAAGACATTAGACATTTAGACATTTATATAATTCAAGTGTTATAGGTAGTAAGGAAAGATAAACTTCTTTCTGAATAGATTAGAGAGGGCTATTGGGATTACTGGAATTCCTTGTCAAGTTATATCCGATAGTAGATGATAGTGACAGTGGTAGATTTATACAATGTGTACAAATGTGGCATTGTTCATCCGTGAAAAAGCATTCCATAGCATTCTGGCATTATTCCAGTCTTCTGGGTTCAGGTTCTACAGTATATCTTACCATTTGGTCAGATTCTTTGTAGGTATGGTCATAGTTTTTATTCCTGTGCTGATGACATCCTGACATTATTCATTGAACTGTTTACCATCATGCTGTTTAGAAAATGTTAAAAATGGATGAAACTTTTATTTATATCTGAGCTCTGAAAAGACCAAAATTATAACTTTGATTGAATGGCTCTTTTTATCTTATCTAAAGAGACATCTTAAGTTTGACAATTTATGATGTTGGCAACGGTCAGATTATTTTGTTCAGGATTTTAGATTTTTTTTCTGATCTGCATCTTGTATAGGAAACTCATTTGTCATTTTTCATTTTTCATTCCACCTTTGCTTTATTGTGAAGTGCCTTCAGATGGTGACTAAAAAGCACTATAAGCAATAAAGATAAATAATAATAATGTATCTAGCATAAACATAAAATGCTTCACACAGAGATGGTAGATGCATTATCACATTGGTCCTATCCATAATCTTTTAACAGTATTCTATATTTTATAACCATTCGAGACCTATACAGGGAAGTTCAGGAGAATCATAGGCAAGTCATTGACAAAAATGGATATACTGTACATAATATAGATGGCATAGTGTATAATATTTCCAAGTTGCAAGACCATCTTTCACTATGGTATGTGCAGTGATCTATTTAAATCAATTATGTCACTGTGACTTTGTCTCTAACGTGAGTTGTGTAATTGCTTGGACATTACTTGTGAAAATTTATTAAAACTCAGTAAGCTACTCATTGAAGAAACGAATAAAAAGAACAGCAAAGTAACACACAGTGAGGGATGAAGGATGAAGTAAATGCCATAAAACAAAGATGGCAAATCTTTAGATGATGACAAGAAAATGGTTAACATCCTAAACAAATATTTCACTTGGGCATTCATCAATAAATAAATCTTAACATTTCTAAGTCTGAACAAAGACAAAGTTCAGTATCAATAATAATTGCTTACACTTATATAGCGCTTTTCTGGACACTCCACTCAAAGCACTTTACAGGTAATGAGGTCTCCCCTCCACCACCACCAATGTGCAGCCCCACCTGGATGATGCGAAGGTCAGAACGCTCACCACACATCAGCTATCAGTGGGGAGGAGAGCAGAGTAATGAAGCCAATTCATAGAGGGGGATTATTAGGAGGCCATGATTGGTAAGGGCCAATGGGAAATTTGGCCAGGACGCCGGGGTTACACCCCTACTCTTTTCGAGAAACACCCTGGGATTTTTAATGACCACAGAGAGTCAGGACCTCCGTTTTCCGTCTCATCCAAAGGACAGCACCTGTTTACAGTATAGTGTCCCCGTCGCTATACTGGGGCATTAGGACCCACACAGACCGCAGGGCTGCAGCGCCCCCTGCTGGCCCCACTAACACTTCTTCTAGTAGCAACCTTAGTTTTTCCCAGGAGGTCTCCCATCCAGGTACTGACCAGGCTCACACCTGCTTAGCTTCAGCAGGTTGCCAGTTGTGACTTGCAGAGTGATATGGCTGCTGGCCAGTATTTATTAAAGATTAGCATAGAAGAAGCACAGGTGCAGCAGATATTGGAAGTACTTAAGATAAACCAGCAATGGTTGAGACCACCTGCAGCCATATCACCCTGCCACTCACAATGGACAATCCACTGAAGCTAAGCAGGTGTGAGGCTGGTCAGTACCTGGGTGGAAGATCTCCTGGGGAAAACTAAGGATGATGCTGTTCTCACAACTAATTTAATAGTAATGTTTCTAATCCATGGAGGGTCATCCATGTGCTTTTTGGCAAACCTGAGTCGAGCATCAATGTTCTTAGTGAGCAATGATTTCCGCCTTGCTACTTTCCTATTAATCCCATTGTACCCAGTGCTTTTCTAAAGGGTGTAGTCATGAACACTGACCTTAGACAAGGCGAGAGAGTCATTCAGATCCCTGGATCCCTGGATGTTGTTCTTGGGTTCTTTGTGACTTCCTGGACAATTTTTTGTTGCACTCTTGATCATGGCAGGACGGCCACTCTGCAAAGATTTGCTACTTTCCCAAATCTGCTCCATTTCAAGACTTTGTCCCTGACTGGGATCAGTGGAGCCCAAGAGCTTTAGAAAATATTTTGTAACCTTTTACAGGTGGATAGGCATCAATTACTTTAATTCTTTTGAGTGGGGTAGATAACTGAATGCATTTATCTGGTGAAAACATTCATACTTACATACAAAAAGTTTCTGTTAAAGATAAGGGTAAAATAGATAGCAAAATGACACACAAAATTGGATAGGTTACACAGTCCAGTAATCAGTTCAGTACAGTGTTTTTGTATATCATGGAAAATGGAAATATTTGAATGAGTTCAAAATGATAGGCATTTCCCAGGATACCATTTAGTCAGCAGGAAATTATTCAGTCAGTTTTGTGCATGAAATGGGGTGTGGCCTAATACTTTATGGTCCTTAAAATGTATATAATGGATAATATAACTGCATTTTCATTTCATTGATAGCAGCTATTTACTATTATGATTAAAAAATCTAATAATTTCTGTCCTTGTTTTTATGAAAACAGGATAGGCATGCTTGTATTCTGTAAATAATATTGCGCAGGATCTAGTTCAGTAAGACGGTTTAATTTGTTAGACAATTTAAGTATCAATGTTTGAATCAAGGCATATTTTGAGAAGCTTTGAACTGAAGTAAAGAACATGGCTTTTCAACGATTGTATGGAAATGTTTCTGCTGAATCTCATTGGTTTTCATTTATCATTATATGTGTTCTATCCTAATATTATATATGTGTATCCTAATATTATATTATATGTGTTCTATCGTAATAACAGCATCCATACTGTATGCTGTTAGCAGGATTTCATTCATGTTAGATAGCAACCTATCCTTTGACTGTGTTATAACTCTGTTTCCAAGTACAAAACTAATTTGAAAATTACAAGGGACTGTTCATATCCAGTCTTATTCTTTGTCTTGAATTTACAAATAGTTTCTCCAGTTTGCCATAGCTGTGAGAAAGTGACGTAGTATGTGAGGTGTTTAACTTATTAAAACCATTACCACTACAGTATATGAACATACTAAGAACTGGTGCAAGAAATATTGATAGCATCCTATTTTCACTGTATGGAACAGAACATTGCTCACATTGATTTACTCTTGGAGGAATGTTCAATGGATAAAAGAGTCAGAAACTGGAGCT